ACGGGGAGCAGATTTCGGGGAGGAGTCTAAAAAAGCTGAAGTTCATTCATACAAGTGATTTGTTTTACTTTGTTTTGCGTCCAGATGGTGTTGATGGTGCCTGCACCTCCCTTGTCTGGCAGGTTGCTGTTCCACCTGCAACTACCTTCGAAAAAGTGTGCTGACACGTCACGTCGATTTTCACTTCACGTCGACTTTCTTTGAACTTGCTTTCTCTTACAGTACTGCATTCCCTCGCTGTGCTGACTTGTGAGAGTTGAGTGCAGGACAGTGAGTGAATCGAAGCAAAGCTCATTTCCTGAAGCTTTGGTGTTTTTGGCTATCTGCTCACAAGAGATTGAGTGAGGACTGAACAAGTGACTATTGCACAGTCCTATTTACAATAATTGGAAGACGCTTTCTTAAAAGCGCACAATTGATGGAGGCAGCCGGTAATCCTCTGATGAAAAATTGGATCTTTGTAACAATGATTCGCAGTGGCTCTCGGGGTTGGTTTTCTGTGAGTATGCTTTGAGTGGAGTGCCAATTGCTGAATCGTTCATTCATGTTTGATCATTTTGGCTTATTATTCTAGACATGATATTCCAGGGGCTCTCGAATTGTATGATTGTTAGACCTGCCATTCGCATGGCTGGTAAGAAGAAGCTTGACTTCAGTGATGGTGGATCCACCCGTCCACCATCGGATGCACCTTCAGCCATGGAGAGTGCTTTGGCTGACTCGTTGAAGGACATGAAGGTTTCCATGGCACAGCGGATCCTTGCTTCTGAATGTCCGTCCTCGTCTGCCAAGGGAGATAAGAAGGACAAGAAGAAGGACAAAAAAAAGAAGAAGAAGCGGTCTACCTCGTCTTCAGACAGTGATGTAGAGCCTGATTCCGAAGAATTTCTACAAGAACTTGGCTTGCAGCTTTCTCTGAAGGCCAAGCACTTGAAGCTCAAGGACATGATCAAATTTGAAGACCTTGCAGCAGATGCTTGGCAATTCTTTGAGTAGATTTATTTGTTGGTGTCAGTTAGCTCAAGGCTTCAAGGTTCAAAGTTCAAGGACTCTTTCAGTCTGTGGTGGTCTTACTGGTCTTTGCTGATCTCAGGAGCAGCTGGCCTTCATCGTTGCCTCTCCCCATGCTTCAATTTCAGGCCTTTCGGTGCTAGACCTCTTTGAGACTGGAGGTGAGATGTTGGCTATTCGGCGTCGTGAGACCAGCAAGATGAAGGCAGTGTCGGACAAATCTGACCTCGCTGCTCAGAAGAGTCGATCCGTGCAGATTGAGACAGCTGCTGAGTCTACTTGGAAGGGCAGGCTGCTGCAACTGGTGCAGTTCCTTGACTGTTTTGGTGCATAACATGCTTATGTCAAGTGTTTGGTGATCTGTTTGTGCCGTGTTTATGTCAAGTCCAGACTATAATACTAATAAGCATTGCTGCAATAGTCCAAAATCCTTTTGATAGTGGCTTCACGTTCAGGATTTTGGCGGAGAAGAATGCGAAGACGACCATTGTGCAATTTGAGAGCCTGGTAGCCCTGAGGAAGTCGATCTGCCAGAAGATCCATGACCGCTTGAAAAGCAAGTCAGGCCTTGCAACAGACGTTTCAAAGAAGATGCAGGAGCTCAAATCGCTTGCTGCCAAGGACATGAACACTTTCAATCAGAGGGTGAGCGGCGGTCGTGACATTGGTGAGTTCTTTGGCAAGAGGAAGAGGGACGATGAGAAGGATAAGAAAAAGAAGAAGGATAAGAAGAAGAAGAAGTCAAGAAAGGAGAAGAAGAGAGATTCCTCGGAGAGGAAACGAAAGAGGTCACCTTCGCCAAGTGGTTCACTGTCAGGCAAGTCTGAAAGCTCGGCTGAGAGGGATGACTCTTCGACCTATCATATGTCAGACTTCTTGCCTGGTGGAAAGAGGAATCCTGGTGGAAAGGCGCATGATGACTCGGATCTGTTCAGTGGTCCTGGTTCGCGTTTTACTCCTGAGAGCTCTAAGACCAACACCCAGAACAGTGTGAGCGATGAGTTGCTGGAAATGCTCGGTGAGCCGATCCACAACAACTTCAAGAGCCAAGCAGAGACTTGACAGTGTTGGAGTTTCTATATAATGTCTTACTCTTACTTGTGTTATGTTTTGGGATGCTTTGGGATGCTTGCGTGGGATGCTTGTGGCCCCTCTTTTTCACTGCAGTGAGGACATCGCCCTCTTTTCGAAAGCGCTTGCTGGCAATGGCTTTCGTACTCCAGCTGAATTGTTGCATGCTGTTTGTGACTTCAAAAAGTCTGATCCGGAGAAGCCTCCCAGTGCATTTTTGACCCAGAGCCCAGAGGGAGGCAAGATCTTCCAGCAAATGCAATGGACTGGCAGGATGAGTGCAGCCATGGTCATGAAAGGTATCTTCGACAACCTGGACAGGGGTTGGGAGACGATCAAAAGTACAGTGTTCAATTGGCCTTGAAGATATGTTTGGTAGGTGTTTGATTTGTTTCTAAGATGGTGCTGCTCCAGAGTCATCACTAAAACAAGCAGGACACCTACTTGGAGGTGCTGGATTCTGAGTTTTTTCCAAGAAACCGGAAGAGAGTGTAGAACTGACTGGGGAATTTAAAGAGTCGGCTCCTGAAGAATCTGGAAGTGACTGAATCGCGTGTAAGCGCGGTGCGCGATGCGGCCTGTCCCGCGTCCCATGGACTTCCAACGTGCTCGCTCAAAATCAACGCGCTCGCAGTCAACTCAACAGAGGAAAAAAAAAAAAAAAAAGTTGAGATGGATACGTAGCATTGAGCGCGGTACGTAGCATGTTTCCTGCAGAGGGTCACAAAAACGGACCATGTATCTATCTCCGGGACTGGTAGCTATCTCAACTTTTTTGTTTTTTTTCATTTGGGTTGGCAATTTGGATTTTTTTTGGGGGGGTGAGAATTGGGAGATTTCAGAATTGGGAGACTGGACTGGACTTTCTCTTAAAAGGGAAAAGGCAAAAGGTCAGGTTTTTGGAAAACAGGAATCGCGCGATGTGCGCGATGCGCGTTGCGCAGGGTGCAGTGTTGTTCCTTTGGGCTCCAGATCAGGTCAGGAGATGTGCTACAAATTGGTGGGTTTTGTTATTTGTGCTGGACACTGACTATTAGTATCTTAAATCAATGACCTGCTTGTACCCTACAATCAACTCTGATTCCAATCGTCGATTCTGAGCAATTAAAAACGCATTTGTGTTACTGCATTATTGATTTCAGCAGTTCCACATGTTGCACTGGAGTAAAGTTAATTTCCTGAAACCTTACTGCCTTCCTGACTTTTGCCATTTTTGTGGGGTGTAGCATCCAATGGCTGGCGCTGGGGGAAGTGCCAGTTCGAATGCAGCTGCTGGTCCAGTGGTGCCCTTCATAGTCCCCAGGGTGGACAATGAGGACTGATTGTTGTTTTTGTTTTCTTTGTGGATTCCCAAGTTTGATGATCGTTCAATTCTCATGTCTCAAGTCACCTCCAGTAAACAATTAGCCCATTAACATCCTGATACTCTTGAGTTTTCTGTTCAACTGTTAGATTCTTTGGCCAGGAGCAGAATGAACAACAACTTCAGTTGATGGCTTTTCTTAGAAAGTATGCCTCTGATCAGGAATCGTTTTCTCGTTTCCTGCAGAAACTCGACAAGTGTGTGAGAGCTGAAAAGCCCATCGAGTCCTTGGGTGGCCGCGTTATCTCCAAAGAGACTCTGACTTTGTGCCTCCAAGAGGTTAGGCCAATCTGTGAGTTTGCAATTCGACCAGATGACCTTGTTGCTGGTGGCCAAAGTGTCTTCATGCAGTCCTTAGAGAAGTTCACCCGTGGTCCTGAGGACGTGGACCCCAATAATATCCAATATGCGATCGTCTATGTGCAGGTTGCTGTCAACATGACCATGACATTGGCCAAGGCCTGGGCCTTTTGGGAAGGTGCTGTTGGACTGAATGTGTTGGACTGAATGTGTGATTTTGTGACATAGTCGGATTCAAAGATGTTCTACGTTTGGATCAAGACACACCGGTCTCATTTTCCTGTGCCCGCTTCCTTTTGTGCACCACTCTTTCAGCCATGAGTGCTTTGGCTTTGGAAATCTCAAAGTATGCTTGCTCGCTCCTGGTGCAAGATGCCCAGGAAGGCAAACACTTTGTCTCCACTCTGCTGTGTGCATTGCTGGCTTTGAAAGAGGTTCTTGGCAAGCTACCCAGGCATGTGTCAACGAACATGACCCGCACTCAGTTCCTTGTGGATACAACGCCTCCATTGCTCCTCGATTCATTGGGCTCCAGTGGACTGGGGAGTTTGGTTCCATTGCTGCAAACTGCACAATTGCAACCATCAGATGACCTCCCCCTTGAAATACAGCAGATTGAGACGGAGCTCAATGTAGAGTGCAGTGAACAAATAGCCGATTGGCTGTTTCAGAGTAATGTCACTGTGGGTCTGAAAATGGAGCGGCTCTTTCAAGCGCTGGATGAGCTGATTGGAGTTGTGAACCTTCCCATGGGCGAACTGCTTTGGATGAGATCTGTTCAGACATGGTCTAATCGCACCATGTGGCTGATTGCTTCTCACCAATTCAATGAAGCAGTCAGGGCCACTAGGGCAACTACTACTGATCAAGAGAATCGGTATGATAGAGCCAGTGCCGGTTCCTAGGATTAATCAGTTTTGACTCGACACTGCTCTCTGTGGCAAAGGAAACATGAATTTATTTAACACATCCATTGGATGGCTGGTGGAGCTGAGCTGTTTCAATTCTGGGTTTTTACTCTGACTGACTGACTGACTGACTGAGCTGCTTGCGCAATTCTAAATTGAGGTAATTGAGCTGATTGATCGGGTCAGGTGTATGCTATTACTTTATGGTGCTATCATCATCGTTTTGTTTGTGCTTTGCCCTCCTGACAAACTTGTTCAGACTCACTTGAAGTTACATTGACCTATTGTCCCCTGAGCAGGTGACCCCAACTGTGAAGCATAATCTCGATGGCTATGAACTGGTCTGGATGATGTTGGATGTTTGGAGAGTGCTGGAGATGCAAACCAAGTGGTACCAATGGTGGGCAAAGAATATTGACTCCATAAGGTCGTGCAGTGTGTCTTGGACTGTGGCAGTGAAACACATCCTCAGGCCAAGCTCTTACAAGGGGAGTCTAGAGTCTCCTTCGCTTCCAGGTTTGCGATATGACTGTGCCACCAGCTTGGGTGTCTTAGTGATCCTTGGAGTGCTATGCCAAATTCGTGGCCTCGCCAGTCCAGTACAGGCTCGCATTGTCAAGCTACTCCGGGCTTTCTTGTTGATGGCTTCGTGGCCATCAGGGTTGGCGCTTCTACCAGATCTTGTGCTGGATGTTGAAGATGGCTGCGTTTCCCTCAATGCTCTTTGGGCAAAGCTTCGTGGAACAAATGGCAAAGGTGTCATGAAGACAAGGCTTCCTTATCTAAAGATTGAACACATGTCACAGTCGGAGATGGGACATTAAAGACTGAGGATAGAGTTGGAGTATGTTCATAAATCTTTTTCCCTTCAGGTGGGAGAACACTACAGCCTTGGGCCCAGCTCGTCACCAAATCCTTGGCAAGGTGAATGTGGCTGACCTCTTGTTCTTTTTTCTTCGGCAACCGCTCAGTGACCCATCTGCCATCGCTGGCCTTGAGCTGGTGAGAATGCAAAAGCGCTTGCTGCATCTCGTGGCCCAGCGCATTGAAATTGCACTGGGAGATGGCTCAGTGAGGTTGTCGAGTGTGGCAAGTGCTTTGCGAGTGGGTGGTGAAGATCTGGCTCAATGGAGTGCTGGGAAAACTAGATCACAGGCCGCTGACCTTCTTCGGCAAGAGCTCATTCGGAGGTTTATGACAAAAGCCACTGGTTTTGTCTCAGGCTTCAAGAACTCTGAGAACAAGGAGTTGGAAGGAGTGCCAGGCAGTAAAAACAACACAGCCGCTTTGCATGCAGCTACCCAGTACGTGACTTCCTACATGTGCAGGGCCTCTGAAATGATGATGGCAGTCCTGTCCAAGCAGAAGTTCAAACACCTTGCCTTTTACTTCGATTGTGCCACTGTGGGGAAGTGGAACGCTGCTTGCCTTTATTTAAATTCCTGGAGTTTGTTTAATGGAGGCGCTGCTGTTCTGTCTGTGTGTTTGTCATTGGTGGGTTCACAACGTAACTTGCTAGGATGCTGCTTTTTTCTGAGGGAGAAATGATGTTTAAATCGTGTGTTTCTGCGTCTGTGTGCGTGTTCAACTCTCTTCAATTTGAGGTTATGTCCATTCACATCGCTTCAGATGGGCTTGTATGCTGTGCACCATGCTCAACAATGCCTGCTTTGAAGCAACCCTATGAGAAAAACCCGGAAGAGCTTTTACTGGCAATTCAGGACATCGAAGTGGAAGCTCCATTGCATATGCTCAGCAAGAAGGACCCAAGTGCACAGGAGCCTGTCATTTGTGCTCAGCTAAAGGCACCAACAAGGCGAAAGCTTCTTGCACTTAACCAATCCTTGGACTACCTCCTCAGGCTTCGTCTTTGTGATGGTGAACCACTGATTCCACTGAGACCTCCACTGCACTGTGAGGAGCGATGCTATGCAACCAATGAACTTGGTGTCAAGAAAGCATTCTATTGGAACTCTGCTACCAAGCAAGCTACTTGGCAATGCACAGTGCCTGACAGCATGTCTGACACCACTGTTCGCTTCTCCTCCCTAACCGATGAAGGGGAGACTGGTTCGGCGATGGCTCTAGCCAACTGTGGCCTGGCTGTTCTGTGTCACAGAGACACCATGCACAAACTGCACAGAGAGGAGATGCTTGCTATTAAAGATGTTGATGAGGTCAACCTTGCCATGAGGGAAACCCTGCTGGTCTTGAAGAGTGAGCAGGCACCGTGGAATTCTGGCATGTTTGGACGCCGAATGAAAGAGGCACATGCCTTGGTGCATCTGCTGCCTGTCCCACATGTCTTGCTGGACATTTGTGGGCCCGGGATCATTGCAGACCTGTCGCTGTCTCCAAGTACTACTCAGGGTGAGCTGAAGCAGGTGTTATGCGACTTTGCCAAAGGCGGTTATCGGACTGGCGGCAAGCATAAACTTGGGCGATGGTGCGATTGGGTAGACAGCTTTTTAAAGTTGCATCGGACTTGGCACATGAGGCTCTTCTTCCATCTCATGGCCTTGGCACTGGAGGGCATTTCACCTTTTGCTGCACTCGCTGGCCACCTGAATCAACAGAAGGACCCCAAGAAAGAGTCCGATAAGATACTTCCACGTGTTCTTCGTGTAGCTAGGCAAATGACTGCAAGCGTTCAAGTTTGGCTTTTGGTGAGCCTGCAAGTGTTTTCCCAAGGATTCCAAAAGCAAAAGCCATGTGTGTTTGACCATTTGTGCTCCAATCAATGCTCTATCTCTATCTACTTTTGATGTGAGGTATTGGTGAGCCCAACTTCGCTTGCACATGCAAAGTCGGCCATGTACTGCTTGCTGCCCTTTCGAACTTTCCAAGCTCAGGAGGCAATGGCTGTCCAAAGTCAAAGTGTGAAGCGCGTCCCAGTTGTTTGGTTTCAAACCATTTGTGTGTGTGTTGTAAGATGTTGTAAGACTCATCAAACAATGGTGTTCCTTTGGTGTTCCATTCATGTAAATCGACTTCAGAGGGTCAGTGATTTGCTGACTGAAATTTGTCACTGCAGAAGTTTTGATGTTTGTTGCACAGGTCAAAGGCGATGTTTGCCCTGGAGCTCAACCACGCATGCTCCGCTTCATGTGCACCCAGTGGAATGAGCTATGTCGGCAAACGCTGGAATCTTCTTTGAGGCTGGCCCATGTGGCTGATGTGTGCAGTGGCTGTGAGGATGACAGCGACATGGTCCTCTCTGTGCACTTCCGCTTTGTGATTGCCACCATGCGCCACTTTTGTGAGTTTGGCTTGCTGTACCAGCACTTCCCTTGGAGGTTCTTTTTGCTGCTGAGTGGCGACAAGAAGTTGACTGATGCGACACTTGCTGAAATGAAAAATGAATGGAGCTTTCTTTTGTCCTTGGAGAAGGGTGGAGAGTGTCACCGACAGTATCCCTGCAAGATGGTTCCTCATTTGTCGTGGTTTGCATACCGAGAGATCATGACTGCATGTGAAGAGCTCGATTGGCAGTGCACTGATACTCTTCAAGCCCGTGTGGCCGCCTGGTTTCCAGAACCATGCTCTACGTTGGGTGCAGATGCTGCTTTTCGACATGATCGTTTGGGAGAGTCCAAGCAGCATCGCCAAGAGATCTCAGTGGAGCAACTTCTTGCTGTGGGCTGCAAAGGGCTGAATGAGAGGTACAAGGAGTTCAAAACTCCCACTGACTTGGACTTCAATGGCATCAAGCCCTCTCAGTTCATCAAGAAAGGTGTCTTCGATTGCAGCAGAGCCAGTGCAAATGACACCGGCCTTGCCGGCTTCAATTCCATGGTCAGAGCTCCAACCATCTCACCGCACCATCTCACCAGGAAGTGTCTCAACATTTGGTCTGCAATGAAAGCCAGCAGTGGGCACCATGAGCATTTCTGGACTGCTCAAATGGTCCGAAGTGGCCAGGTCGGGTTCTTTTTTTGGGGGGGGAGTTCTTCTGGTTTTTGTTCAGGAAGGGCATTGGGTTGATACCTTGTCTGTATAGTCGGTCCCATTGACAACCAGTTTGTCAGAATTGCGTAGCAGGAGGGACAGTTGCTCCTTGCGAGCCACCAATAGGGAACGTTTTGCTGGTAGTAGTTTGTTTTTTTGGGGTGGTTGAAGGGGTGATCATGTCAATGGCTCACAATGTCGATGTTAAGTGGTTTATGTGTCCTCACACAATGTCGATGTTTGGTAGTTTTGTTGGAAGATGATTTCTCTGCAGATAAGCAGTTTGAAACAAGCGGTTTGCTGATTTTGTGAACAAATTGCACGAAAGCACATTTGTGACAAATGCATCTCAAAGCACATCTATGAGAATGAAAATGCTCCAAAACCACATGGCTACTAAAGGGTAGCGGTGGACCAAGTAGTTACCAGGTCCAGTATCTACAGCGCCCAGCCGTTGAAGGTATGCAGTACTTGATTGTTCAGTTCAACTCATGTTGGCATGTTGGGGTTTATATAGTAAGTCTTTTAAGTTTTTACACCACCTCAAAAGCATTTGTTTCCCTGGGTGTGTGAGAAGACAGAATTTGAGTAGATTTGTGCAGGTGCTGCATATTGAGCAGGAACTCTTTCTTTGCTTTGATGCTCCTTATGTCCATGTCAAAGCGTGGCCATTGGAGAGCTTCGAGGAGGATGCCAAAAAGTGGGCACGCCTTGATGTGTCTTCGTGGCATATGAAGGATGAGTTTGTCCAAATGTCGATTGTAAAAAGATTGAAGTTGCTACCCTTTTTGTTTCAACCAGGTCGTTTGCCTGACATGTCGACCATATTAATGTTACTGGATGTACCTTCTTTTTTGGATTGCAGGACGTGATCATTGCCAAACCCATGGATGCCAGTGTTGTCCCTTACACACCGCACTTGGTGGAGCAGGGCGAGATGAAGGAGTTGCGCCTGTTGCTGCAGCCCATGGTCCCACTTGTGAACAATGCTCTTGAGAGTTACGCGCACCGACACTGGATTTTCTTTAAGCAAATAGGTCTATTGTTTGATGTTTATTGTCCTTGTACTTTGTTTCATTCAATGGGAATTGATGAACTGATGGTGATGGCGGTCCAGTGTTTTTTGTCCATGTCTCACCTCTTTTTCAAGCCTTTCATTCATCACTTCAGGATTGTCAGCTGAGTGTCTCAAAGGCTTATGTGCTTTGTGCAAGGTCTCTTTGCCAGGGAATTGCACCAACAAACTTCGAGTCTCCAAACTCCTTGACCACCTTTGCTATTCTGAAGATGCAAAAAATGCGATTTTGGCTCTCTTCAAAAAGGAAAAGGAAGGAGAGAAAGAGGGTGAGGGGGACCTGGAGGAGATGCCTGAGGACGAGGCTCCAGAACTTGATTCTCGATGTGAGGCAGAACTCTTGAACAAGATCCTTGAGTCCTCAGAGATGAAATCTCAGAAGAATGATGGGGAAGCCAAGAAAGCAAACCAGAGTGATGCACCTCCTGCAAAGAGAGCCAAGAGAACATCTGAACCACCTGTGGATGAGGACCATCCAAAGGTGCCAGAAAGTTTGCCGGCTCCTTTTGCACAGCTGGAAGCACGATCAGATATGAGTGATGTTGCAGTACCACCTGGATGTGCCATTCGGATGTACCAAGGCTTGGCTTCTCCTTACATCCATGGGTCCTTGCCTCCTGGCCAAAAGTGGAAGGGGAAAGCCAGTCATAGCAGATCCTTTGACCCAAATGCAAGTTCGAGTTCTTCAGCAGCTGCGGCACCAGCAGCTGGGAGCCGCCAAGCAGGTCGAGCTGCGTTGACAGAAGCTGCTGCAAGGGCTGCTGTGCTGGCTTGGTTGTGTGAATGGGCTACAGCCCAGGGAGTTCAGTGACCAGAAGCAGCTGTGAAAAAAGGCATTTGATTGTGCGTGCAAGGGATGTTTGACAGGACATATGGGCGTTGGTTTCATGAGTTCAATTCAGCTTCATTCATTCATATCAGTTGGGCATTCATATTTTTCATATTTTCATCTATATACAATTGGAGTTGGAATGGATGGTTTCAGGGTCAAACCATTGAGATGGAGTTGGAATGGATGGGTTCAGGGTCAAACCAGTGAGATAGAGTTGGGATGGATGGTTTCAGGGTCAAACCATTGAGATAGATACATAACATTGAGCTGGAGCTGGTATGCTCAAAAATGCTTTCGATCTATAATCTCTATATAAAATTATATGTTCAAACTTCTTGAAGCCTCAAAACCCTCGACGCGCCTCATGAAGCCCAGCGCGGCCCGCCATGTGCAGGGCCGACTGCCCCCGGCGGTTCAGGATCTGCAAATCCGCTTTCCGCTCCACCAAGAGCCGACACACCTCCTGTGCGGTGTCGTCGCTCCGTCGCCGTTCGGTGGAAAGGGAGAGTTCATGCGTTTGGTGGAAGGGGGTGAAACAGGGGTCAGCTTTGACCCAGGGTTTGGCGATGGAAGTATCCGATGAAAGGATGATGTTGAGGTGAGTCGGTGAGTCGTTTCTCTTACCAAACCCGACCAGGTAGGGCAAAAGCCACCAACATCCACCAACTGGTAGTCTTCCCAACAAGAGTCGGATCTTGAGTGAACAAGAAAACAACTCATGACGAGTTCACCTCCATGGTCACTTTCGTTTTCTGTTTTGGTCGTCCTTATCAGGTGCGAAAAAGAGAGGGGTCTGGCCATGACGATCGCAGGCGTCCAGGTCCGCCCGGGCGACCAGGAGCCGTTGACAAAGCTCTGAGTGGCCATCAAAGGCGGCGAGATGCAGGGGGCTCACCTGGGCAGCCGCCAGAAAACGGCAGCCACCAGAAAACAGCAGGTTGGAAAGTGGGTCGGTCCAAATGGACTGGGAGGGGAATCATACGTCATTAAAACAAATAGAAAAAGCTCCTAGTAGCTTCTTGCTCCTAGTAGTAAGGCCAGGAGCCCCTGGTAGCGTCCATGCTCCTAGTAGCGAGGCCAGGAGCCCCTAGTAGCTTCTTGTTCCTAGTATGGAAACTGTTCCAACCATTGTGAACATGAATCTTAGGAGCTGCACCTCATGACTTGACCGAGTTTCGGCACTCCATCTATGGTGCCATGAAACACCTCTGGAGGATTCCATTGTTAATTCTGAACCATTCCGAGCATCACATCTCAGCATATCTCAAGCGGCACAAACAACCAAGTCAAAACAACACCACACCCTATCAAAACTCTTGGCACCAATTCTCCGATCATCGTTCCAATCCCCTTAAACACATCACCACAGGGCGATCGTCCACCGAAAGTTCGTTCTCGCAGAGGCGACCAAGAAATGGCGGAGGGCAGAGTGGCGATTCAAACCACAAATGATGTGCAGACCAAGAACATTCCTACCCTCCACCTACCCCCGTTTTGGACCTCAGAGCCCGCCCAGGCGCAGGGGGTGGTGACTAAAATCATTGAATCATCGTCATGTTGAAAATCTTCCGTCCGCACGATCCAAGTCACTCCAGTTTTCCATGTTCATCCATGTTCTCATCTTTCAAGTGACAATGGGGGTGATCTAAGCACACCTGACTCATCAATGCACGGTTGACCAGTTCCCATCTTTCAGATCTAAGTCACGCCCTTATCATCTCGATCATTGCAATCTGCCTTCGCTTTCAGCAAGACCTTCACCACTTCCACTTTGCCACTCCGAACTGCCGCACTCAAGGCAGAGCCATTGGCACTGCCCGGGTCCACATAGTCTTGGAAGCCCAAGGGTTCCACACGTAGCAAGGCCTGCAAGGAACGCAAGGCTTGTTGTGTAGGACTTGTATCCTTCAAAGCTGCCTGGAAGAGATTCTGGAACTCCTCAGCTGTTGTGATTACATCATTGACGTCGAAAGGAACTGGCTTTGACCCAGCCCATATGAGCGCAAGACCCAACAGAACATTTACAGTTTACAGGATGACTCACTTCTGTATTCGCCCCACAGCCCCACAGCTAGATCCTCCCCACAGCTAGTGGGATCCAAGATGATGCAATAAGAAACCCTTTGGCGTGGCAAGCGATCCAAGTGCACGTAGCGATTTACATGATTTACACGGGTCATGTCTTCCAAGCATCCCCACCACGCCGCACCACAGCGCTAGGCCCATCCACAGCTGTAGGCACTGGCACTTCCTTCGTCCGCATGACTCCCGCCCCCGTCTTGCGGGCGGGGGGACTACGCCCGCGCGGGGCTCCTTGACTGCCACTCCGGCTGCCGGAAGCGGCACGGGGCGCAGGGGAGCGGCTCGTCGAACTTCGAGCGGAATGCCTCAGATGGCGAAAGAGATGACGTGCACACTTGCTTGAAGAATCATCCCTACTAGTGTGAATTCAACACTCCCTCCCAAGCATCATGGGCCAACGATGCGTGCACCCCGAGGACTCGGAGGACCAGTCTTCCAAAGACCAGACATGCACGTGGCTTTCACTCCACTTCCGCATGTTTCTTTGAGGGAGGGTAAATGGAAAACAAGTTGGAAGAACTCCAGCTGCACACGTTAGAACTGCAATGAAGCCCCCGTAGTACCCTATGGTATCTTGAAACAACATGAAACAACACCCCTGCTCACCCCTGGTTCTTCTTCACGCCCCATCCAAGGCTCAAATCGGAACAAAGGAAGAACCAGGGTCCACCCTCGCCCTGCGCAGCCGCCCTGCGCAGCCTTCGCCGGGCGACGCGGTCGTCAGAGTCTCGGAGCGCGAGACGCCGCGAGCTTCGATGACTTGAGCGCCGCTGCGGCGGAGCCTCAGCGGCGAAGTTGGGGATGGGAAAAAGGAAACACCTGGAGCTGAAAGGGATGAATATGGATGAATGATGAATGGAATGGGCAGAAATTCTGACGTTGAAGTAAAACAGGGAGAAACCCAGTAACCCAGTTAGGAACTGGGAGACAATGGCCAATTCTTCTGGTCCGAAGCTGCCAAGTAAAATACATGTTACTGTAGCATGTGCAAACACTCTATGGGACTGGTATATAATAGCTTCCATTGACCCGATGTCTATCACCCTGAACTGATCGGTTGCATCTGTCAGTCCCAGACAGGTCGTGTCTAGGATTGCTATCTGCACCATCGCTCTTCGCATGAACGATGTGGTGGATTGAGAGGAGGGTTAGCACAAACCCCAATGTCGGTGGTTTATATTTATATGGACCCCATCTGTTCAGGACATCATGGGGTCTGTGCCATCTGCTCTGAAACTAAAATGCTATTAGGTTGGAGGCCATCGCAAGTAGGTTGGAGGACTGGTTGGAGGAAATCACTATTAGAAACAAAGAAAGAACAAGGAATACACTCCCTGGAACTAACATGGAAGTGGAGAATGGCCCCTTGAAAGACCATGAACTCCACTATAAACAGGTGGTTTTCCACTTCCATGTTAGTTCCAGGGAGAGTAAAAGGTAAATGCCATCTACTCTGAAACTACTGTAATTGATGTCGTGGACACATCCTACAGGGTGAAGGTGCGACATGGACATCGGTCGCTGCGAAGCGGTGGTCGGAACCCATGGGGGGAACTCCTCATGAGACCAGCTGGAGCCGAACATCAAGGAAATCCATCCATCTGTTTTTATGGCATCAAAGGATGGGATTTGGGATTTCTGGAATCGTTTTTGTTGATTGAAGTGTTCTCCTAGCTCAAGATCGGAAGAGGGGCTTACATGGGCTTACCGTGTCGGGCCTGCACATGCATGAACGTGCAACAAAAACAAACAAACCTGGTATAAAAGGGTTCACCCGTTTTCGACACGATGTCCATCTCTCCGGTGAGATTGGGACGAAAACTCGCATGGCTCGCCAGCCAGTGGATCCACTGCATCGACATGATATAACCATGCAGGGTGATTCCAGTAGAACCTACAACCATCGACCGAGTCCGAGGGTGAAAAACCCTCGAGCCCACCGTGAGACGAGGCGACTGGCGACTCTGAAAGTGCAAAGGGCTCTTCTTCCACCTCCACCGCCGGCAGCACGCCACTCTTGTCCAAACCTTAGGGGACACAGGACCAGCATGGTTAGCATAAGTAACATGCACAGAACCGACTCTATCAAGAGCCACCACATGTTCTAGCAGCATCTTGTGGCTCATGCTGCATCTCATTCAACCATTATATAAAGAACAAATTCCAACCCACTTCCTAAGATGCTCTTTAAAGCATGTTTGCATGACATTCCGGAAAGCACAACATTTTGCCAATTGGATCCGAATCCATCCTCTTGGACTGGAGCTTGCCCCCGAAGCCCAAGCCTGAGGAGTGCCACAAATCTGGCCTAGTCAGTGTAATCGATATTCTAGAATCTATAGAATCAGTCAACAATATCATATCATAGTGAACCTATATGTAAACCTACACAGTCCCGCCAGTTCATCGAACTCCAATTGTTTCAGCCCCTGCCAGGGAAAAACTGGCTTCTGGCAACTCCACCTCGTCGCATGGCAGCGGTCGAGGCACAGCGTCGCATCGCCTTCGCCTCGAGTTTCATCATCTCGTGGCCCAAGCGAAGAGCTTTCAGCTGGCCCTCCACCACCTGGACCCGCCGCCCCAGACTATCCATGGGAGAAGATTGACCTACGTAGGACCCTTAAACCATCTTAAAACTAATTGTAAACAAGGCGATCGAAAGGGACCAGGTCTGGGGAGATCCCAATGGGCTATGAGGCTATGAGGCTGTTCAAACACTGGTGTGGTTGGGTGCCAGGGGTGTCTAACTGTCTGCCCCTACCTTGTTTTTGGAGGTGGTTGCAGGTGCCAAAGGAGTTTGTCCCGTCTTTCTGAGGTTGGAACTCTGGTGGACTGTTTATGAATAGCACCCCCACACCAAGTTTTGGCTTTACAATGCATTAGATTCTCATACAGGAGGCTTTAACCGGTCCACATTATTTCTCATGGGGTCAGTGTAGAGCATGTGTGAAAAGGGCCAAGTCAGCAAACACATCCTTGGGAGCTGGAGGTATATGCAATACCCGCCAGTTTGTGTCGAAACCTTCTTGCTCCTTGTCCCATACAATCCAATTTGGCATTAAACCATTTCGATCTTTGCACCAGCTATTCTTGGTCGTTTTCAGCCAATGGGACAGTCCCATGTGTACCTGCATTGGGGTGGTTGAAAAACGAACCCAGTCCTGCTTCGCGGCTTGGTCGTGCCTGGGTGTTGTTCAAGGCGCTTACTTACAGTCCGAGAACAGTGAACTCGCCACAATAACACCCAACATACCAAGTGAAGAAAGTTCACCGAAGCAGTTCCACAGTTGCCCCATCTATTCGTGCTCGCCACTCCTTGGAGTTTCCGAATCAACATCACCAACTCATAGGGGTGTGTAAGAGGTCAACCGCCATTTCACCTGGAGGAAGGACGACCAAAATCCATGGGTTTACATGACTCCTGTTTACAAGCGTGGTTGGAAGAAGAACACACGGCCGTTTTTACGCACAGCATATGAAATGCGCGATGAATCGTGCAGATTTGGTTCGTTCAGACCTGAGTTCCCAGCTCAGGATTTTTGTTCAATTCTTTAAGTGGTTGGGATCCCTCTTCGATTTTGATTCCTTTTCTTGTCATAGAGGTCAGTTGAAACGGCTGGGTTTTCATAATCCAACCATGCATTTGATGCGAGCAGTGCAACTTCCGAACCACGAGAAAGTTGCTGATGCTCTGTGGCGCTACTTCCATGCTGGTCGCCGCTCTACTTTGAGCATGCATTGAGTGTGGCAGCCTTGATTTCTGACATTGTACATAGGACCATTGTGCCGGCCTCACGCTTAGCTGGGGGTTGTCACCGCACGTCGTCGACTGCACGAAACTGCAAAGGCCAAAATCCATGGGTTCGGTGTCCACTCCCCAAATACACGACCATCCGGGTTGGGTGTCCATTGGACATCTCTCAGTAGTGTATTGGATGGTCCTGGTACCCTTGTATATCCCACTCCCCCCCCCGCTCACCTCCTTCAGCTGTTCACGGAGTTCCAAGCGCTCGCGTGCCAGCTCCAAGCAGCGCCTCGCCTCGCAGATCAGGTGCTCGTGCCCCAAGCTCTCACTCGGCTCCTAACAGCCAGTCTCCGGCGGACCCCAACAGGTGAGTCTTGACCCCAAAGCTTATATGCTCTTAGTATTACAGTATAACAGTATGTAACACTAGTTGAAGAAAAAGGATGTTCTCGCTCTGACATTTCGTGTTTGGGTCTAGATACCGTACCAAGGGGGATCCAGTGGTTGACCTTTTTTTTGCACATCTTTATGATTTGTCTTCTAATGGGGAGACCCCCTACCAATGGGTAGACTGGTCTATTTCCATTCTTTCAGGGGGTTGAACTGGGAAGTTTGCAAATGCTGTGGGATCTACCCGGAATCTACCCTGCTGCAAAGGACTACATGGACTCTCAAAACCCCTAAGATGTAGAAAATGGCCCCAACCCGTGGAGAATTTTCAAGGTCCGTGGGATCGTGTTCGGGGATCTACTCTTGAAACCTACCCTCCACAAAGAGCCTTAGTTGACTTACAACGCAGAGGATCAGTTCCTTTTTAACATTGTTCCAGCACAAGTGTTTTTGAGTATAGGCACCAAAGTGTTCTTGCCGATTTAATACCCGTGCCTGGCACTACTAATGTCTATACTAAAATATAGAAGACTCAGGTCCTCTGCGTGACAGAGTTCTTAGGTTGACAAACCCAACCTCTTGTTCATGAGACTTGAAAACAAACAAATGAAAAAACAAACAAACGAATGGACGGATGGACGAACGAACGTACGAATGAGGCTAACAGCTCCAGGATGAATGTAGCCGTGAGTGATGTTCATGCACATTTAGCAGAACTTTCAGCTGAGCCGAGTGGAACCGAGCTCTAGGCACAAAGTCACAAACCGGAGCCACAAGAACCTCAACAAATGGATTCGGCATTCAACTACATCTAACTTGACCCTCTGCGCCCCCAAACCCATCCGGGGTCCTCGAGTGCTTCAGTTCCTTCCTCCAGGTGATGGGCCCAGACGATGAAGTCCCCGCCTGAAAGGTGATTTTTTGGGGGGAGCGACGGGGTTCCTTTTTGCGAACACCGGTAGCCCAGACTGGTTCCACCCATCTGATCTTTTTCGAGGAACATCGATTAGAGAACCATAGAGAACCAGTTTGGGTTATCATGGGTTATCCATTGGCCACCTGCATGGCAAGAACTGTCTTTTGAAACTGTTATGGTGTTCGCTACTTTAGTACACTTTAGCATACTTCAGCCAACTGTTTTTGTTTGTCAGGTCAACGGTGATTTCTAGTCAACAACATTTGCCACTAGGTAAACCCGTAACCCAGCAAGAATCATTTGCGGCGATCAATGTTGAAATACATTTTCCTGAACCCATTGATGTTTGCCCAAAGTCCGCTGAGATTGTCATTTTCAAAACCACTTTTTGGAATCATCTCTTACTTATTCTTGTCAAAGACCGTTGTGCCTTTCATGTGGTTTCCAACAACCTGAGTGGGAAGAGATCTGCTCCAACACACCTTGCAGGCCTGCGAGCAACCCTGATTTAGACGACAGTGTTCTAAATCATTGTTTTTATTAGATCTTTTTTGTTCCAAAAACATGTTCAAAAACGCAGCCGAGTTTTTCCGAAGAAAAACTAACAACATAACATAATAACATATCCAAATATCTGGAAATGTGCACCGGAAAAACATAAGATCAATATTTGTCAGATTAACAACGCAAAGGGCGCACAGTGGATGTGCTCTGCAGGCCTAGACAACAACACACCAGCAAAGCTATCCCAGGAAGATGCCAAAGCTGTGTTTAATACACACTGAACAGAGTGCATGCGCGTGCGAGAAACATATGAGAGCGCACAGGGCACATGTTTGCACTCCAGGTCCGGGCTCACGCCGCAAAATCTGCACAACAAGGTTCACAAAGCGCTGCCCCTGCCAAGACATGCATCTCAAGGTTGACGAAGTGCTGTGCCTGTCCCCAAATAATCTGCACTTCAAGGTCCACAAAACACTGCGCCTGCCACAAAATCCACACTTCAAGGTCGACAAAGTACTGCGTCCACAAAATCTGCACTTTGTCGTTCACAAAGTGCTGCGCATGCCACGAAATCTGCACCACCAAGTCTGAAAACACGTGCAGTGCCACTACGATTTTGAGCAAAGTTGGCTGCACCCTCGATCGAAGCCTATATAACCCTTACCATAAGAAGCCTAGCGTGTCCGCACTGTTTGCGGAAACATCGGCATGAGCTAGAAGAATGCCCAGCAAAAACGCCGGTCCCGGCATTTTAGCGCGTTGGAGAAGATCTCAGAACCTCTGTAGGAGACTCGTGCAACGAGCTCGTCGTTTCTCCTCGTTTCGGCCGCGTGGCACAGCTGTCGGAGGGACTCGTTCTCCTCGTGCGCTTTCTGCAGCGCCTCTTCAAGCTCGCTGCGAATCCTCGGATTGACAGAAAGGTTGCGCAGGACCCAAGAAATACACAGGTACTGCTTTTGGACGTTGATTTTAGACTTTCGACATGATTTGTTTTCAGTTCTTTTGGCCAAACATCATTTTTTTTCTGCACGTGTGATGATTCATGTCAAGTCTGGGCGCCCATACGAACGATCGGATGATCATGAAAATCAAATACCAAACAGTTGGTGAACTCAAGTAGGGTGGTTTCAGCAAATCAAGTTGTTCATGGTTTGTCAAAATCGTGCGGCAGGACTTGCTGATGAGCCTTTTGTTGGTTGTTTCATGGCAGCAAGCCGGCTACCGCAGGGACCAGCAAAACCAGCCGACCAAAGGAACCAGCACGTCTGCCAACCAAGGGTTGCAACTATATAGTTGCAACTCGTTGCACTTTTGCCGAAGGATCCAGCATGATTCACTTACATAGCATACACAAAGAGAGACACAAAGCAATCAGAAACACAAACCACGAACCCCAACTTCCAACACACCTCTGGATGATCCTGGATTCCTGGATGCCCTTTTTCCCTTTTTTTCGTTTTATACACAAATTGACCGCCTGGATCTCCTTGGTTCTCAACATCTCATGTCAACCATCCGAAGCGTCTCACCCGACCCGTCGGCATATCCGGTCCCAAGGCTCCGTGACTCGGACACCTTTCCTGGCGGAGGGACCGACCGGACCGGTGGACGACGCCCCGGTGCAACGACCGCTTCGGGGTCGACCGGTCTCCCGACGATCCGGTTCGCTGAGAAGCGTGAGGTTCGGTGGGAAGGAGGGTGGGGGTGGGTGGGAGGGTTTTAGTCATACCTTCTTCTTAGGGACAACCTAGGACAGACTGGTGAGGGATATGAGGACGATCCGCTGGAGGAATCTCTATTGGGCCCAGTCCTGGATTTGGCCGTACAGCACTACGGTGTCTGTAGTGGTACAGCAACATGACATACTGGGTCCCTCACCAATCAGTTGACCCAGCATGTTCCGGGAAAGCCACTTCTCTGAGTGCTGAGAACTGCAAGATATGACGGAACAGTATGATTCCGAGGGTGTGGCTGTAATGCATTGCACCCCGGTCAACTGACGAACTCTGAAACTGTTCATGAAGCATCGTGGCCATGTTCATTTTCCAACCTGTTTGGTGAGACATGATGAGACTGCTAGTTGGCTACCCTGGCATGGCGCAAGTGGCGCTTCGTGTGCAAAACAAGAAGACGAGGACCACGGCTGGACCAGTCCCTAGGGCTCCAGTCCTGCCTCCGTTCTCGCTTCGGAGCGTTGAATGCGGGGTGACACTGGCTTTGAATGCGGGGCCACAAACCCTAGGGATTATGAAGGAGGGGGCCCCCCCAAACTGCCCCAACTACTTCATACTCCAAGAAACACACACACTGAAACTTCTGGACAACCAAACTGAGCCATCTGCAAGGACGAACGGAGCACAGCATGATTGGCTCCGTCGACTGGCTCCGCTAGCTCCGTCACCCACCACACCGTCCGTGGTCCGACTTAGTCCTACCTCCGTCGGTTCGGTGCTTAGGGGCACCTTCTAGAGGGCCAAGGAGGCCCAAACGAACATTCTTCCAAGAGCTCTTCCTAAGGAAAAGGGTCAAAACTTGGAAAAGGGCCCAGTGGGAAACAACGTGCCTGCTCAGCCTTGCTATGGTGTCCAACTTCTTCACCATGTCTTTTTCACCATGAAATCACCCAACCACCACACCGTGCCTCCCTGGGTGCCCGTACCCTCCAAGATGGACTCCAACGCTGAGGCGTTCTCTGGTCGGTGGAAACCAAAGGAGGCAGACTTTTCCACATCCAGGTGACCCTCCTTTGTTGTGATCCCGAAGCCATCCTTGGTGCACCAAGACGCAGTATAAAACAGAAGCTGAAGAGGTGTCCGAGGTATGGTCAAAGTGAGCTGTTTCAGCAATTCTGTGCCAGGCAAGAATGTCCCAACACCGGACTTTTTGATTTGTGAACTCAACCTGCTTGCTGCTGTGGCCAGGCTTCCGGAGTGGTGCTTGGAAGATCAGTGCCAGTATAAGTTAGCATATACAAACTGTACTGAAAAGCAATGTAAACGAGGAGTGGTCAAACAACAATTTCACAAGATCTACAGGTTGCTCCTCCCACATCTTCCATCTCTCCACCTCTGCCGGTGGATCGTGGATCCAAAGCCATCTGCCATCCCAAGTCTCGTTGGTCATTCCAAAGACTGGCCAGGTGGAAGGATCCAAGGAGCTCTCCTGCGACAGGCGTCGAGCCCTGTCCGGCGTGTTGGGGTCGTCAGAGCCCGGGCTTCCACCTGGCGGCCAGTTGAAGCGAAGCAAAACGAAGCGAAAGTGGATTCTAGGAAGTGGGGAAGAGGCGGTTTCTGGGGTGGAGCATGGTTGAGCAGATGTCCGTTTTTGGGGGATTCAGGGGTCAATTGTCAGTGCCAGGTACCATACGTGATTGATGATACACGACCGTGGGGGGATCCCCTCGGTATCCACTCTCGCCCCTCCATTGGTTAAGTTCACTTCGTTCGCGGGTTATTGATTGTTCACCATCAACCTGTGGACAGTTCCATGGTGTTCTTCATTTGGTCTTCTTTTTCTTGCTTGTACCAGGTAAAACTTGTCACGCACCTAAATTGTCCAGGTATTCTCCCTTGTTCTGTTGATGTTTCAGATGATGTTCTTCTGACCCAATTATCTTTTCCTGTTCCTTGTTGTTTCCCAATGTAGTATTGCAATCCTTGGAGTTTTCCATTGGGGGTCTACACACCTCTAATCAACCAACGCAAAGGGTAATCTATGGAAGTTGAGCCGTCAAGTGGATGAGCAAAGTCTGTTGATTGACGTTCTGCCCACCTGGGCGGCCACCGCGGTGTCTGGTTCGTAGGACGTCCAAACACCTCCCCCTTCGGCCTGAATTGGGTCACCCGAACCGTCACGGCCCGACGGCTCCCACGTGGGCCCAGTCCGGCCTGACTCCATTGCCCTCGAGTGCATGGGCGGGCTGCCCTCATCACCCTCGTGAGGGTCCGTCTTCTGCGTCGACCTAGGCCACGCACCAGCAAACTTCTGAGAAGTAAAATGACAACAGCAAGGACGCTACTAGGGGCTCCTGGCATCGCTACTAGGAACAAGAAGCTACTAGTAACAAGGGCATCGCTACTAGTAACAAGAACGCTACATTCGGGGCTCCTGGCCTTACTACCAGGAGCAAGGACGCTACTAGGGGCAAATTGCATACACATGCATATGCCTGTGGGTCAGGATACCTTAGGTTGCGTGGTGGAGCGATTTCGCTAGCTGCTACCAAATGGTGGACGACCGGGACCTCGGGTGAACCGGTCGGTTGAACAACCCATCCCCATGGTCAACGAAGTAACGAAAGCATACGACATGTGTACCGGCCGGGATCTTCCAACTGTGCAACATGTCTACCTTTTCATGTGTAAAACCAGCAGCAATCTATAAAATGTGCATTACTAGGAACAAGAAGCTACATTCGGGGCTCCTGGCATCGCTACGAACGGAGCATATATATAGTTGGAAGATCCAGGGGGCGTTTCAACAAAACAACACCAACCGACCGTTCGAGTAGGTGAGATGATGAGATATCTTGAGGTGGAAACGGTCGTTGGTAGCAGCCTTTTGCTGAAGAAAACCTCCCAAAGCCGGTCCCATAGTGTGAATGAAACAGACCTCCCAAACTCATTCAAGGTCTAATATATTTGCTTGATGACTGACTCCAGTCCAATTCCTGTCCAAAATGTAACATGATCCAACCTGTCCTGCTTATTCACTCAACGACCGACTTAGGAATCCTTATATAAGTCTGAACAAGATGGAACCCACGAACCCGAATGCAAACACGATCGAAAAACTAATATGTCCAAATGACACTCTTCTAGGACACTCTTGCGGGACACTCTGTAGGACACTCTTGTAGCACACTCTTGTGGGTCACTCTTGTAGGAAACTCTTGTGGGACACTCTCGTAGGACACTCTTGTGGGACACTCTTATAGGACACTCTTGTGGGACACTCTTGTGAGACACTCTTGTAGGACACTCTTGTGGGACACTCTTGTAGGACACTCTTGTGGGACACTC